GACGGCATTTCTTGCGGGAAAGCTCGAAGCTCCTGCTCAGCTGGTGGCACCTGCTGTACTATTGGTCCTCCTCTGATGGACTCGACACTGCGGGCCTCTGCCTCCGCCCTGAGCTCGCGCGCCGTGAAAATCCCGCCAGCCCTCAGCCCAGCCTTAATCTCTCATCCTCGCCACACGCTTGCCCGTGACCAGGGTGGTGACTTCTCTGGGCGCCCGTCAACCGCCCGCGCGTCTACCCTCGCGCAGCGGCCGCCCTCCGGCCTTGCTGGCGCCTCTGCCCTGGGGCCGCGCGGCCCTCATGGTAGGAGGCCTTTGCCGCCTTCCGCCGCGGCGCCCGGGGCGGGTTCGGAGAGGCCCAGCCTCGGGGGGGACCCTCTGCGGCCCAGGGACCGATGTCCCACTCAGGGATGCCACACAAACGCACACACACGTGTACACACTCACATGCACATGCATGCACACACGTACACACATGCACTCGCACGTGCACACACGCACGTGCACATACATGCACATGCATGCACACACATGCACACAAGCACACTTGCTCATGCACACGTGCACACATGCACACAAGCACGTGAACACACGCCGTGCACATACGTGCTCACGCACACACGTGCACACACACATTCAGGCTCCACGCACTGCGGGAAGCTCAGCTCCTGCTCACGTGCCCGCGCGGCCTCCTCTGTGGACCGACCTGCGGGCCCTCCTCCCGCCCTGGGCTCTGCGGCCGTGAAAACCCCGCCAGCCCCCCAGCCCAGCCTTCATCCTCATCCTCACCACACGCGCCCGGCCCGGTGGGGCTTCTCTGGGCGCCCGTCCCCGCCCCCGGCGTCTCCCTCGCGCCCGCCCGGCAGGGGCGCCCGGAGGGGCGGCTCAGCCTCCGACCTCCCGCAGGCTCCCTGATCCAGGTGCCCATGTCCGAGAAGGGCAAGATCACGCGCGGGCGCCTGGGGTCGCTGTCGCTGAGGAAGGAGGGCGAGCGGCAGTGCTTCCTGTTCTCCAAGCACCTCATCGTCTGCACCCGCGGCTCGGGCGGGAAGCTGCACCTGACCAAGGTGAGGGCCGCGGCGCGGGGGCAGGTGCTGGGGACACGCACACATGCACACAGGTATACGTACACGTGTACACACATGCATGCATACATGTGCATGCACACGCGCACATACATACACAGGCACATGCATACACAGGCACATGCACACACAGGCACATGCACACAGGCAGGTACCTGGCAGGTGAACAGACAGGGTCTGACTGATTTCCCACCCGAGCAATTGTGGGAGGGGAGGTGTCCAGGCCCCCAGGGGTCTGAGCAAACCCCCAAAAGGTGTGTGTCTGTGTGTATTAGTGTGTGTGTATTGGCGTGTGTGTATTGTGTGTGTCTGTGTGTGTATATTGGTGTGTCTGTTTGTGTCTGTGTGTTGGTGTATGTGTATGTATTGGGGTGCATGTGTGTGTGTGTATTGGAGTGTGTATTATGTGTGTGTCTGTGTGTGTATTGTGTGTGTCTGTGTGTGTATATTGGTGTGTCTGTTTGTGTCTGTGTGTTGGTGTATGTGTATGTATTGGGGTGCATGTGTGTGTGTGTATTGGAGTGTATATTGTGTGTGTGTCTGTGTGTGTATTCGTGTGTGTCTGTGTGTGTATTCGTGTGTATTGGTGTGTGTCTGTGTGTCTATTTGTGTGTGTGTCTGTGTGTGTACTGGTGCATGTGTGTCTGTGTGTGTGTACTGGTGCGTGTATGCATGTGCGTGTGTGTGTGTGTCTGTGTGTGTGTGTCTGTGTGTCTGTGTGCGTGTGTGTGCGTGTGTGTCTGTGTGCGGGCGTGCAGGTGCATGGGCAGCACCCCGCTGTGGAGCCGCAGCCTGCACAGCCCACCGGCCCGCTCCACTGGGCTTCTCGTGCGGAGATAAAACCCTCCAACTTACAAAGCAAAATGCCCAGCCGGCTCGTGACACACGCACACGTATGTGCATGCGTGGCGCTGTCCTCTACCCCATTCCGTCCTGGAGCCCCTCACCGCCCCTGCCCTGCCCGCCCAACGCGGCGGCTGTCTTGCAGAACGGGGTGATCTCGCTCATCGACTGCACACTGCTGGAGGAGGCCGAGAGCACAGAGGAGGAGGGTGAGCGCACGGCTGCCGTGTGCCCGCGTGGGGCCGCACACGGATTTACACACGCTCTCCCCACGGCTGGGCCTGGGGGGCTTTGCAGGGAGGGAGGAAGGTGCTCGGGGTGGGGGCCCCTCACCTGGACACGGGAGGCTGGCCTCCAGAGAAGGGGCCCCTGTCCCCACACGGGAGGCTGAGCCTTCAGAGAAGGACTCCCTGTCCCCACACGGGAGGCTGGCCTCCAGAGAAGGGGCCCTGGCCCAACACGGGAGGCTGGCCTCCAGAGAGGGAGCCCCTGTCCCCACACGGGAGGCTGGGCCTCCAGAGAGGGAGCCCCTGTCCCCACACGGGAGGCTGGCCTCCAGAGAAGGAGTCCCTGTCCCCACACGGGAGGCTGGGCCTCAGAGAGGAGCCCCTGTCCCGACACGGGAGGCTGGGCCTCAGAGAGGAGCCCCTGTCCCGACACGGGAGGCTGGCCTCCAGAGAGGGAGCCCCTGTCCCGACACGGGAGGCTGGCCTCCAGAGAGGGAGCCCCTGTCCCCACACGGGAGGCTGGGCCTCAGAGAGGAGCCCCTGTCCCGACACGGGAGGCTGGCCTCCAGAGAAGGAGCCCCTGTCCCCACACGGGAGGCTGGGCCTCAGAGAGGAGCCCCTGTCCCCACACGGGAGGCTGGCCTCCAGAGAAGGAGTCCCTATCCCCACACGGGAGGCTGGCCTCCAGAGAAGGGGCCCTGTCCCCACACGGGAGGCTGGCCTCCAGAGAGGGGGCCCTGTCCCAACACGGGAGGCTGGGCCTCCAGAGAGGGAGCCCCTGTCCCCACACGGGAGGCTGGCCTCCAGAGAAGGAACCCCTGGCCCGGCAGTGACCCCGACCCGCCTTAGCGGTCCCGACTGAGCTGCTCCAGGCCCGGCCGGCTGGCACTGTGGGTTTGGGGGTCGCCAGGTCATAGCGAGCTCCCCTCCCTCGCTCATCCTCATGCATGGGGGGCGGGGCGGGGCCGCGAGGGTCTCCGACCGGGAGGGGCCGCGCTCACCCCGCCCGCGCCCGTCTCTCCCGGAAGCCAAGGGAGCCGGCCAGGACGTGGACCACCTGGACTTCAAGATCGGCGTGGAGCCCAAGGACTCACCGCCCTTCACGGTCATCCTGGTGGCCTCGTCCCGGCAGGAGAAGGCGGCCTGGACCAGCGACATCAGCCAGGTGGGCGGCCCCCCCCAAAGCAGGTGGGCCCTTCTCGCCTGGGCTGGCGGGGCCAGGCTGGGAGTGGGCCTGCTGGGAGTGGCAGGCCGGGGGGTTGGAGACGCACACGGAGAAACCGTCCCCTGGGGGGCTCCTACTTTGGGGCCTGGCCTTGGCCCACCCCCGCCAAGCCAGCTCTCGGCTGCCACCTCCCAGGGACGGTGACACCCCCTTTCTGCAGCCCACACTCCCCAAATCCTGGAGACCCCGTCCGTCATGTGCCCCGGAGCCCCCCCCCCGCCCATGCAAGGAGGAACCCTCCCACGGCAGGAACATGGACCCAGGGCCGGGCGGGGCGGGGGGAGGACACAGGGCAGCTCCCCCCCGCCCCCAGAGAAGAGCCTTATTTTTGTTTGTGTGGGTGGTTTTTATTCAAAGCAAAATGTGAATTTGGGGCCGGGCGCGGTGGCTCACGCCTGTGATCCCAGCACTCTGGGAGGCCAACGCGCGAGGATCGCTAGAGGTCAGGAGTTTGAAACCAGCCTGAGCAAGAGCGAGACCCCGTCTCTACTAAAAATAGAAAGAAATTAATTGGCCAACCTAAAAATTATATACAAAAAATTAGCCGGGCCATGGTTGGCGCGTGTTTGTAGTCCAGAGCTACTCGGGAGCGGGAAGGCAGGGGATCGGTCATTGAGCCAGGAGTTGAGGTTGCTATGTGGAGGGAGGGCTGACACACGGCACTCTAGTCTGGGCAACAGAGTGGGGACCCTCAAAAAAAAAAAAAAAAAAAAACAATGTGGGTTTTGCATTTTGTGAGAGCTGAGTGAACAATGTCCAACATCATTCCTCGCTCTCTGTTTGTTTTTCTTTAGTCCCCACACACGTGCGGGTTTCTAATCTGGAAACCGTCCCAGCGCCAGGGCAGGGACAGCGCCCGGACAGGGACAACGCCAGGCCGGACCAGACGGCCCGTGCAGGACAGGACAGGCAGGGAAGGACGGACCAGCCAGGCAGACAGGAAGGAGGGCGGGACAGGCGGCGACGGGGCCCAGGGCAGGACAGGGCCCGGGCATGGACCAGGGACAGCCCAGCAGGACAGGATAGGGCAGTCAGGACAGGCCGGGGCAGGGGCAGACAGGACAGGAGGCCGGGAGGACGGCCTGGCCGGACAGGGCAGGACGGGCTGGGCAGGGCAGGGCAGGGACAGGGACAGGGCAGGGCCGGGACAGGGCCAGGGCAGGGACAGGGCCAGGGCAGGGACAGGGACAGGGACAGGGCAGGGGCAGGGACAGGGCGGGGCAGGGACGGGGCCAGGGCAGGACAGGGCCGGACAGGGACAGGGCCAGGGCAGACAGGGACAGGGCAGGGCAGGGACAGGGACCGGCAGGGGCAGGACAGGGACAGGACGGGCCGGGGCAGGTACGGGCTGGGGCCGGGACAGGGCAGACGGGGCTGGGGCAGGAAGGGCAGGGACAGGGACAGGAAGGGACAGGGCGGGACAGGCCAGGCAGACGGCCAGGGCAGGACAGGCAGGCAGGGGCAGGGACAGGGCCGGGGCGGGACGGGGCCATGGGCAGGGACAGGCCGGGGCAGTGACAGGCCAGGGCAGGGGCAGGACAGGCCGGGGCAGGGGCGGGACAGGACCGGGCAGGGGCAGGGACAGATCAGGGACGGGCCGGGGCAGCCGGGGCTGGCCGAGTACAGGGCAGGGACGGGGCTGGGGCAGGGACAGGCAAGGGACGGGGCAGGGCGGGGCTGGGGCCGGACAGTGGCATGGGACGGGGCTGGGCTAGAGCAGACAGGGCAGACGGGGCAGGGACAGGCTAGGAACAGGGCAGGGCGGGGGCTGGGGCAGGGACAGGGCTAGGGAGGGCAGGGACAGGGCTGGGGCGGGACAGGGCAGGGACGGGCTGGGGCCGGGACAGGGCAGGACGGGGCTGGGCAGGACAGGGCAGGTATGGGGCTGGGCAGGGACAGGGCAGGGATGGGGTGGTGCAGGGACTAGGGCAGGGGATGGGGTAGGGGACAGGGCTGGGGCCGGGACAGGCAGGGCTGGGCAGTGGCAGGGACAGGCAGGATGGCTGGGGCAGGGAAGAGCAGGACAGGGCAGGGCGGACAGGACAGGGCAGGGCCGGGGCAGGGAACAAAGGGGCGCCCTTAGTGTCAGACAGTCTAAGTTACGAGGGCATGTTGCCTTTGTGACAGGATGCTATGTGTGTCTTTTTAGGCGACAGACAGATGGGGCCGGGGCTTTTTTTTAGGACAGGCGCTCTATGTCTTATTGTGTGATCTATGGTTCATGTGGACAGGGCAGGGCCGGGGCAGGGCCGGGGCAGGGACAGCGCCAGGGCAGGGCCGGGGCAGGGCCGGGGCAGGGACAGCGCCGGGAGGCCCTTTGCAGCGGGACAGGCCTGCGTGCGGCCCCCCAGGGGAGGGTCGCAGACCCTGTGGACCTGGTCGGGTCCTTGCGGCCGGGCCTCAGGGGCAGCAGCAGGGCATTCGTGCCGAATGCAGCCCGGCCAGGCCAGGCAGGCGTGTCCCCGATTTGCAAACAGGGAGGCTCACACGCAAGTGGGTCACGTGAGCCCCCCAGGGTCCCGCAGCCGGGACCCAACCTCGGACTGAACCCAGAGGACGCCCTGCCCTGCCCTGCCAGGACTGTGGCGGTGGTCTGGTCTGGCTGGGAGGAGGCCGAGACTAGAGGGCCGGGGGCCCCCAGGAAGGTGCCCGACCACCGTCCCGCAAAGACTCTGCCCCTCGGGCCCACGGCGCAGGCCTCTCCGCGCTTCGCTCTGTCACACGCCAGCCCAGCCTTCCCCTGCTGGAGCTGCCCGGCCTCACCCTGACCCAGCCGGCTCTCGCTGGAAGCGTGGGGGCCGTGTGCCGGGCAGGCAAGCTCCTGGTGGCCCGGTGACAGGAGGGAGGGACAAGCCTGACCCCGTCCTCTCTCTGGTTCCAGTGTGTGGACAACATCCGCTGCAACGGGCTCATGATGAACGCATTCGAGGAGAACTCCAAGGTCACCGTGCCCCAGATGATCAAGTACGTGCTCCTGTCCCCCAGCCAGGCCGAGTCCCGGAGACAGAGGCCACACGGGGACGGCCAGGACACGGGGACGACTAGAACACGCGGACCGCCAGGACAGGGGGACGGCCAGGACAGTGGGACGGCCAGGACAGGGGGACGGCCAGGACAGTGGGACGGCCAGGACACGGGGACGGCCAGGACAGGGGGACGGCCGGGACAGGGGGATGGCCAGGACACGGGGACGGCCAGGACAGGGGGATGGCCAGGACACGAGGATGGCCAGGGCAAGGGGACGGCCAGGACAGGGGGACGGCCAGGACAGGGGGACGGGCTGGCCACTGGGGCTCCAAGATGCTGGGGTTCATCTTTTGGGTTTTTTTTTTTTTGATGTTTGCTTGTTTGTTTTGAGTTAATGTGTATCTGGATGATCGCTTTGGCTTGGTTTTGTGATGGTTTATTTGTCGTGCACACGCGGATTATTTTTGTATCAGGCTATTTAAAATATAGCATCAGTCGGGAGGCCGAGGCGGGAGGATGGCTTGAGCCCAGGAGTTCGAGACCAGCCAGAGAAAGAGCGAGACCCCGTCGCTACCAAAAATAGAAAGAAATTAATTGACCAACTGAAAATATATATATATATAGAAAAAGTTAGTCGGGCATGGTGGTGCATGCCTGTAGTCCCAGCTACTCGGGAGGCTGAGGCAGGAGGATCGCTTGAG